TACTAGCTTGTATTTCTTTCCTGTCAGTGTCATTTTATTGTCAGGGAAGCAAAGTACGAGCAGATGTCCCTAGCCTTTTTTTTACAGATCACATCATATGTGGGGATTTTTTTCACATAATGTCATTGTTATAAATTAAGTTACCATGGCTTAGCTTATTGAGCCACAATTTTGCATGCACAAATTGTTTAGTGACTTCACCAAGCTTTTCAATGACATCATCACTTTCCATAGTTGTAAAAGTGACATCACTAAGTTGCACAGTGACATCACCCAGTTGAACAGTGGCATCACTAAGTTGCACAGTGGCATCACTAAGTTGCACAGTGGCATCACCCAGTTGCACAGTGGCATCACCCAGTTGCACAGTGGCATCACTAAGTTGCACAGTGACATCACTAAGTTGCACAGTGGCATCACTAAGTTGCACAGTGACATCACCCAGTTGCACAGTGGCATCACTAAGTTGCACAGTGGCATCACTAAGTTGCACAGTGACATCACCCAGCTGCACAGTGGCATCACTAAGTTGCACAGTGACATCACTAAGTTGCACAGTGGTATCACTAAGTTGCACAGTGGCATCACCAAGTTGCACAGTGACATCACCCAGTTGCACAGTGGCATCACTAAGTTGCAAAGTGGCATCACCCAGTTGCACAGTGATATCACCCAGCTGCACAGTGACATCACTAAGTTGCACAGTGACATTACCCAGTTGCACAGTGATATCACCCAGCTGCACAGTGACATCACTAAGTTGCACAGTGGCATCACACAGTTGCACAGTGATATCACCCAGCTGCACAGTGGCATCATCCAGTTGCACAGTGATATCACCCAGCTGCACAGTGGCATCAGCCAGTTGCACAGTGATATCACCCAGCTGCACAGTGACATCACTAAGTTGCACAGTGGCATCACCCAGTTGCACAATGATATCACCCAGCTGCACAGTGACATCACAAAGTTGCACAGTGGCATCACGAAGTTGCACAGTGGCATCACCCAGTTGCACAGTGATATCACCCAGCTGCACAGTGACATCACTAAGTTGCACAGTGACATCCCCAGCTGCACAGTGGCATCACTAAGTTGCACAGTGACATCACTAAGTTGCACAGTGACATCACTAAGTTGCACAGTGATATCACCCAGCTGCACAGTGACATCACTAAGCTGCACAGTGACATCACCAAGTTGCACAGTGACATCACCCAGTTGCACAGTGACATCACCCAGTTGCACAGTGGCATCACTAAGTTGCACAGTGACATCACCAAGTTGCACAGTGACATCACCCAGTTGCACAGTGACATCATCCAGTTGCACAGTGACATCACCCAGTTGCACAGTGGCATCACCAAGTTGCACAGTGACATCACCAAGTTGCACAGTGGCATCACTAAGTTGCACAGTGACATCACCCAGTTGCACAGTGGCATCACCCAGTTGCACAGTGACATCACCCAGTTGCACAGTGGCATCACTAAGTTGCACAGTGACATCACCAAGTTGCACAGTGACATCACCCAGTTGCACAGTGACATCATCCAGTTGCACAGTGGCATCACTCAATTGCACAGTGACATCTCCAAGTTGCACAGTGACATCACCCAGTTGCACAATGACATCACCAAGTTGCACAGTGACATCACCAAATTACACAGTGACATCATCCAG